TAAAATCACGAGGGGGGTCTCGTTGGTGATGTGGTGGCATAGCTGTGTTTGAAGGGTGACCCTCTTATTCCCAGTTTTTTTATATAAGACGTTTCTAATCGCGTTCGCCCCCTTTCCCAGATAATGTAGGAGACCATGAATTAACGAGGTAATAATGATATTAATGGAATTTTTAACAAGGATCATGTTACAAATGATAGATATTTAAAATCATTTAAGAACCACCTGAGTTTGCAGTACGTGGTCGTGCAATTTCACCCAGCAGATGGTCCATTGGATTTATTCCGATTATTTAGTACTTTAACTAATTGTAACTAAATGCCTATCAAAATAAAGAAAAGCCAATTTTGTTATTATAAATAAATTATCTATTAAAAATTTATTATAAAATATTTTAATTTATGTCGGGTCATTAACACTTGGAATGACTCAATGACCGGTGACAAGTCATTAAAGTCATTTGGGTCAGAGAAGGTCACTTGCCAACATTGGATTTGAATGGGTTCGCGATGCAACTCAAACAATTTGCTAAGCTGCCGTATTTTAAATTAGAGAAACGTAGTTTTCAACTTGGATAAATTAGCCTCTTTCAATATAAGTACGTGTTTAATTAATTTCATGAAGCAGTATTTTATTACTAATTTAATAAATAAACGAATCTACCAGTTTGATGATAAACATAGGACGGAAGTCTATTATACCTACGTGCAAACACGTTCTTTTTTTTTGTAAGAAAATAAATTAATATTAATAATTCAGATTCCTTAATATATTTTTACATATTCTCATTTTTCTCAAAACACTTTCGAAAAAAACCTTTTTTCATGACGGTTTTTAACCTTCCGTATTAATTTGGAGGTATATTTTCTTTTCTCACTCCAAATTCAGTCTTTAAAATGAATTTAACTATTGTCAATAATAAATATATATATTTTTTATTATAATAATATTTATAAATCAAATTAATAATAAAATTTGGACATTTTAAAAAAAAATATATTATTATATAATAGAAAGGCTATATCAAGGAGTTAGAGACCCATTCAGTTATTAGATCATTGGAACAGAAAGAGATTTAGGGTAAAAAAGTATTAATGATTTAGGTAAATTTGGTAAGCTAGTGATCCGAGTATTCTCGCAGTGGAGAGTTGCTAAGGAATCAGGTAAATGTGGTAAGCTAGATATTTGAGAATCAGAACAATCAAGATAAATTAAAGAGTTATATAAAGTTGGTATGCTAATAATTTGAGTTTTATAGCAGCGAAGTGTTGTTAACGAGTTGGGCAAGGTTGGTAAATTAGTTATTCGAGTATTAAAACAGATAAGATAAGTCAAAGAGTTGGGTAAAGTAGGTAAACTAACTATTGGAGTATTGGAACAGTCAAGATGAATTAAGGTATCAGGTAAAATTGGTAAACTAGTTAATTGAGTATCAGAGCAGCGAAGGGTTGTTAACGAGTTAGGTAAAGTTGACAAACTAATTATACGAGTACAAAAGCAATATATTTCTTTTAAAGAGCTAGGTAAATTCGGCAAACTATCTATCTCAGTATTATTGCAGTGGAGATAAGTTAAGGAATTGGGTAAAGTAGGTAAACTAGTTAACTTGGTTTTATAGCAATTGAGTTTCGTTAAAGAGGTTGGTAAAGTTGGTAAGCTGATGATTGGAGTATGCGAGCAATCAAGAGTTTTTAACGAGTTAGGTAAAGTTGGCAAGCGAGTCATTTGAGTATCAGTACATTCGAGATAAGTTAACCAATTTGGTAAACTTGGTAAACTTGTGATTCCTGTATTGTCGCAATAGAGTGTTGTTAATTTTCGATATCTTTGTAATCCTCCTAAGGTGTTTAAGATGTCATCCTTATTTATCTTTGTAATAATCAAACTATTAATAGTATAATCATAATTAATGTCTAATTCTAGATTTCTGATCCTTTCTTCTAATTCTTTGATTTTTTCTTGCTCTTGCTTAGCGTTTGGTGATTCTTCTTGCTTTCTAATCTTGGTTTCTAATTCATTGATGATTACTTGCTTGGCTTTAGTTTCTTCCTCTCGCTCTTTAACTTTTTCTTCTAAAACATTCATGGTTTCTTGTTTGGCGTTGATTTCTTCTTCACGTTTTCTAATCGTTTCTTCTAGATCATGAATCATTTCATGCTTAGTCTTGGTTTCTTCTTCTTGTACTTTAATCTTTTCATTCAGGTACATTATCGTTTCTTGCGTAGCTTTAGCTGCTTCTTCTCGCTCTCTAACCTTTTCTTCCAAAACATTAATAATTTCTTGCTTGGCTCTGGTTTCTTTTTCTCGCTCTCTTATCGCTTCCTCTAAAACATTAATAATTTCTTGCTTAGCTTTGACTTCTTCTTCTTGTTCTTTATTCTTTTCTTCTAAACTTTTGAATTGAGACCTTAACTTTGACAATTCCTCCCTTTTAGTCATTAAATCAAAATTTAAGTTTTGAATGTCTTGCCTTATCTCAGTTAGTTTCTTTCCCGCTAATAATTCTCTTAAATTATCTAAACTATCACTACCTATTTCATTCCATAAAAAGGAGAGTATCAATTGATTATCTTCGTCGGCTATCTTTTTACTTTGCTCTAAATTTTTAATAATTTGTTCTTTGGCTTGTAATTCTCGAGTAAGTTTAATTTCAAAGTCTTTCATGTCTTTTACTTGGATATTTATTAAAGCCATTTATTACCCTTAATTTAGAAAATTTTGTTGATAAAATGTTAGGTAGAGGTATTTTTCTAAAAAAAAAAAAAAAAAAAAATAAAATAAAATAAAAGTTCAATTTCAGCCCTCGGCTATCTTACTTCATTTAGAATGATCGTTCGGAATTACTTTCCTCATATATATTTTATTAATTAATGATTTACCCATAAATAATTTAGTCTTAAACTTGTTATTTAAAGTATATGGTGACATAACTTTGGCAAGTCTAACCTATTATAAATGAGTTTTCGAGTTTGTGTAACATATTTACCATAAAAAAACTCGATTTGATATTTCATTAATCCATTTGTGAGTTTGCAAAGAATTTCACCAAAATATTTTCTGCATATCAATCTTTTTTTTTTTTTTAAAAAAAAAGCATTGAAGAAAAATATTATTTAAAGTTATTTGGATAAAAATTAGTACATAAATAGAACATTGAATAATTTGTATTTGTTAAATAATTTGTCGGGATTTCTAATTATTTAACTTGATATGACACGAAATAAATTAAATTCTCTAATAACGGTTTACAAATACATTTCCTGATTTTACAATTTTTTTTTTTCCTTAAGAACTCTCCTTTTAACAATTTGACAAGAATCCATCTTTTTTTTTCTACTTTGAGAGATTAATGTATCCGTATTTTATTATCTTTTAATTCTTAAATAGATTCTCGGAATCCTAACTAAATATCCAAAATAGGAAATTATTTACCATATTTAAGCATAGCGGAATTGTTTTGTTTTCATAACATTAATTTACCCTTTGCATAAACAAAAATAAAAAAAAATTAATTATTAAATTTCGTTCTTTTTCTTATTTAGTAAAAGATTATCGTATCGTGCACAAACAAAAAATTAGCCAAAACAAGTTACACGATAGCAATAAGTATTAGTAAAGAATTAAAAAGCCTATATCAATAAAATTTGTAAATATAAACCTTTTTTTAATTACATAAATTTCCAATAAATCTATTTCAAATATGAACGCTTTTTTATATAGACCAAAATATGTTACTTAATTATGTTCTTATTTGAAGAATTTTGTGAATTATGCGTTACTCGACCAGATGTTACATTCGATCTGAAAATGTTGAAAAGAATTTCTATTATTATTACAATCATTCTTATGATGACAATGCGAAAATTAAATGGCGAGGGATTATATTTTCAGGAAATTATTAATATAACATTTCACAGATTTATTAGTAGTATTAAGTTAATTTATTAAAAGAATTTCAATTATAAATATTAGAAATAGCGTAACTAATTTTTCTTGTATCATTGGCATAATTTTAATTAATAGAACGCATAATAATTTGGAACAAGAAGACAATAATGCAAAGCTAGAAGAAAAATATTGATAATTAATAAAGAATAATTCCCATTAAGAAAATTCAATATTGTCAAATTTTCAAATATGTTAATAATTGTTTAATGAATAGTTAAAGATAATTTGACTAGGAACGCATAAATAAATATATACATAAAGTTTACTACCCGGTTAGTTATAAGTACAGCCCATAATCGTTGGATAAATTGTTTTACTTCATGCGTGTTAAACTACTATTCTATTGTTTTCTGTATTTTCTTTATGACAGCCCAAAAATTTCTTGATTTTTTTTCTTAATGCTACCATGGATAAAATAGCAGCTGCACCAATTCCTCCAAAGACGTATTTCAAACTACCTTTAGACCCGCCTTTCTTTTCCGAGGATGTCGAATGGTTTGAGGGGGGTTTTGGGGATTCTGGGTCTTTCGGTTTTTTTTTTTTTTTACCATCCTCTTTATCAAATTCGCTTTCATTATTTTCATTATTTTCATTATCATTACTTTCAAGAGAGGCAGTTACACAACCTATTTCATCACCTCCCACCTTTACGGATAACTCTACCTGCTCGACACCTGTTCGTTCGCATTTGAATAATTGTTAATCTCTGAAATCTTTGTCAACGGATAATGAAATGGGAAAATAATACAAACTATCCAAAGTTCCAGTTAGTTCGGTTAAGATCGTAACAGTTGATTCATCTTCTTCGATTTGGCACCTCGAGCCGAAGTTGGAGTTTAGTTTACTTTTTAAACATGATCGGTCAATATCAGATTTTCTCGACGTAATATTGTAATGAAGCTTGGAATTGAATTGTATAGGTTTGGTTTGATTAATATTAATGGAGTTTACTCCTTGAACATAGAAATTGATAGAATTTTCCCAATCCGAATAATAAACATCAAAACTCGTAAATTTAATTTCACTCTTAAAACCACAGTCCTTTAAATTAAAAGTTGGAATCATGTTACCCGTTGGCTTCAGAATCGACAAACCTTCCTTTACGCAGAATGACAATAGAATTATTGCATAAACATTTGTAACAATCTTGAACATGTTTGTATTAAATTTTTGTAAATTTACACCAGGTATTAAAGAATGAAAAAAAAATGTTTTTTTCGCAAGAAAATCGGTTAGGTAATCATGTAGAATTCAACAGTAATATATATTAAAAAATCGGCTATATTATGTAATCATTTAAGTGAACAAATTTCATCAAGAAAGGCATTAATGGCGCACTTTTTATTCTTAATAAAAAAGATCATTTTGGAAAGTAACTTCCTGAATTGTTTAATTTACAAACAAAAAATTTTTGGCGAATTTCCGTCATACATAAATGAGAAGGTTCCAGAATGGTGGGTGTAATCCTCCAATAACTAAGTAAATTAGGTAAATTAGGTAAATCAATTAATTAATCGGTAATTTATTAAAATATCTTCGTACTATTTTTCATTTTTTTCCCCAAGCTCCGGAAAAGGGAAAAAAAAATCAAATTATGTAAAAAGTTCATACACCGAAAACGTTCAAAGCATTGTAACGTAGTGATTCACTTCTATTTTTAGAAACGAGCTTTGCGAGCACGCAGTGTTGTACAGCGGACATTGTTCGCCTAAATTCGACGGACACGGACATTCTGAGACATGTCCGGGATTTTCGTTATTGTCAAACGGGACACGTCCACCATTTCCAAAGACTGTCCGGCGGTCCGCGCTAAGCCACAAAAAAAATTTTTAACAATATGCCGCTTCATGTTTTACTAACCAAATATATTGTTAGAACAGAAGAGAAAGCTAACAAAAGTAATCTTAAAAATTACTGTAAATCATGTATTGAAGAACTAGGAGAAGAAGAAGGACGTAAAACTTGGTTTCCAAATAAAACCGATCGAATCATCCAACATTTAAATAAATGTTCCCATTTTCTTGCCAAAACAAACAAAGAAGAACGAGAAGAAATCTTTGGGCTGAACAATAATCCTGCAAATGGGGGCTAAGCTATTAAAATCACCTTATGGGATAAGAAATTGAATTTGAGTAAATGATGATTAAAAAAATGCTACGCCACAGTAAACATTTCCAACCAATAATTAATTCTTATTTTATAAAAAATTATTTTTACAGGATTAATACTTGAATACAATTTCGTATCACTTGAGATTTTGCTATTAAAATCACCCCACAGGACATTGTTATACTAATTTATTAGAAAATTCAATTTTAAAAGAAAAATTATTTATTATATTTATTTTTTTTAATTGATAATTAAAAAACTCTTTCTGCAACATAGGCAGACCAAAGAAAAGAACAATAAAAACCAACAAAAACAACAACCTCGCTCTCGCCTTAACACTCCAGAGCAACAACCAAGTAAAAGACAGAACACTTTACAAACTAATGAACCTGAAAGTAGTGTCTCCATCAACAATAACAACAAAGAAACTCCAGTTATTATGGATGTTAACCCTCTTCTGCTCGATAAAGAAAAGGGTAAAAAAGTTTCAACAGGTGAAACAACTTTAGTTGTCACTCCTGAATAAGCACTCATGAACATCGACGATGCTAATGACACCTCAGAAATTTTTTGAATAATAAGAAAAGCTTTCAAAAAATTTTCACTAAAAAAACGAATTTTTTCGCATTTTTTTCAGCAAATGATTATCCTAGAAAATCCACTCAAATAAAAATCTCTGACATCATTGACCTCGTATTTGATCAGTTTGACTCATTTTCAGGTATTGTGCTTGCCAAACACTCCTAGGACCAATCAAAGAAGATCTTAAAAGTGATATTTTCTGATAAAGATGAAAGAGACGCGTTTTGTAAAGTCATCTTGCCTAATCTGGAAAACCGCATATTTTTACTTCTTGAAATAGTGACATAATATCTATTTATTTTACAACAATCAATCAAAGTTACTGAAATACCATTGGTCACTATAGAATTGCGTATCAAAAAATCTTCTCCCAATTTGGTAAGATCATTAGATTCAACATAGAAACAAAAACCTATGACAATAAACTACGATCACATACGATGCAGATGCAAATTTTGTTGAACTTAGAAAAAGTCACAATGCCTTCCTTCTCAACAATATGATTCATTTCTACATGTGTGACCTGCTATGTGACAAAATCTTGGAATGATCTAAATTCTCAGCTAAACTTACATGTCTTTCTCATTACACTATAGGTAAAGACTTATCTGATATGAGATTGATGGTTAATGCTACAGTTTGGATGATTCTTAAGATCAGATCAAATTATTACAATCTACAACATGCGTTTTTCTATTTTTCTTCAGCTGATAACTATGAAGCAGCAATCAGTAATAACAATCTTACAATCAATGGCAAACATATTGAATAGATTAAAATCAAAGTCAAATTATATACTATCTGCTTCTCATCACATCACAAAATCAAAAATTGTTCAAAAAAACTTCACATTTCTCAAGATAAAAGCACCCAACATATATCAATAATTTTAACCAGTACAAAATAACAACTATAAAGCTCTGGTTTATCCTCATAAAGGAGCTATTAGCCCTAATATTACTTTTGTTAACATCATCACAGATGGTTCTCAGAAACCTACCAAACTGACTAGTAAACCTGTGAATTCACATTCTGTGCTAAAGAATAACAATAATAGTCCCCTAAAATAACCCCCTATTTCATCACCAGATTGGAGTGATGATATTCCTCTAAATATAGAGTAACAATATAATCATCCCATTAGCAACAATACAGATCATGTAACATCTCTACAAGAACGAAAGCAGGAGGCTCTATATACAAGCAAAACACTGATAATGATTTTAAAGACTTCATCAAAGCTAGTTTTCTGCAACTCATTCAGAAACTCTGATCTAACGCTTACCTTAAGCTTTACTATAAAATGAATGGAAATAATTGAACAAACACTCAATATTAATGTTAGCTTTCCTGATGAAAAAACAATGATTAATTATGATATAGAATAATACAGAAATGACCCAGCTGTCAATGCTTTCATATCAATTATTAATAAACAAAAACAAACTATTGCAGCTCTTACAGAGATTACAGATGCTCAAAACTTATGCCTTAAGAACTTCACTGAAACTGTCAACACCTTAGTCAATACTTACAACACATTCCATGCAGTTCTCATTTATAATAACTTACTTCAAATTGACAAAATGCTAATATCATATGAAGTCAATCCTACTGTATCACAAAGATTGACAAATGATCAACGTTATTAATATCATTAACATTTTTAACTTAGTTAACATTTTTACTTTATTTATTTTATTCTTATATTTTATTATTATTATTTATTATATTAGTATTATCATTAAATTATAATTTATCTCTTATATTTATCTTATCATTATAAAATAGTTTAGTATTAGATAATAATTTCTTATAATTATATTTTTGTATAAATATGATATAAATTTGTCCTTGCAAAGAGCAGAGATAACAGTGTAAACTTAATAGTTTAAGTTTAAGACTTAGAATCCAAAGTTAAGGATTGCAAATCTCTACAATAAAGGAATTTCTTACTAAACTACACATATTCAAAATCCTTCAATGTATCAATTGTATTTATTGTGTTTATAAATTATTAAAGTTATTTACTCGTCTAAAAGTATAAACCTAAAGTTGATTGTGATAGAACTTATTCTATAGTAACTTAGTAGTTTCTCATATATTACTCCCTGTTATTAAGTCATAGTTACTCTAAGTTCAACGGGCTGAGCGAAGGGTTAACAAATTGGTGATTCCTTTCAGGATTATAATTATCCTTATTAAACTTATATAAATATACCTAATAGTTTTGACATTCTAAAATAATCCAAGAACATCACAAAGAAGCACATAGAAATAATTCACCTTTGGAAAAAAATGCATCTTATATACAGTGCAATCCTATTACTCAAACAGTAACAAGGAATTTTACAAACTTTTGGAAGTGAATCTCTAGTGAATATAATACTATAGCATTCAGTAATTGTTCTTTGATAGTATTTAAACTTTATCTAAATAGTTATCGTAAAAATGCTTATAATAGTAATAAAACAACAAAAGCAGCAGTCATATTATTATATTGTTTAAATTATTACCTATACCCTGCTGATTTACCTTCCATTTTACAACATTTATTATTAGTCACCTGCATTACTGAGTGTTTTGAAAAATCTTTTAATATTTCTATATCACCCTTTACTCCTACATCTATAATCTCTGAATCAATTGAAATGATAATGAATACTGAACAGTTAAAGAATCTCATAGATTACATGACGAAAAGTTTCAAGGATCTTGTTAAAGATATCAAGAGTACACTATCTGATTTAAGTAAAGGTAGTGAAAATCTCACACTAAAGAAAAGTAACATTATTTCAGTAAAACTTTTCTATAGAAATGATGACAAAGACCTTAATAATTGGATTAGAAGTTTCAAAATTACTGCTGAAGCAAATAATTAGTCTAAAACTCACATGCTGAAGATTATACTAGGATACCTGCATGGGTTAGCTGCATATTAGTTTGAAGAAAATGTTGATACCATTACTCGATGAAATTTAGATGGCAATACAGCATTGAGTTTTGTAGCAGTTTTAGAAAAATTCTCAACTGAAGAAAAGCAAAATCTATGGCACCATTAGCTAAATACACTTCGTCAAGGATCCTATAAAAAAGTAGATTTTTATGCAGGAAAATTTAAAAGATTGTTAAAGAAAGTTGATTCTATTAATGCCTTACTAGATAAATATATTGTGAGACTTTTTCTTAATGGATTAAGAAAGAATATCATCCCTCTCGTAGCATTTACTCATCCTAAAAACATAGATAAAGCTATTGACGCAGCTAAACAAGTTGAGAGTGATCAATATTATGAATAGCAATCTCCTATACTAACTCAACCAAGTGGAAGCAATAATGCTATTGATAATCTTACCAAACAAATGGAGCAATTATCTTTAAACTATGCAACTCTCTCCAATGCATTATCTGCACAACTTGAAAGAAAATCTGAAAAAAGAAAGCCAAAAGATAATAGAAATCTTACGAAAGTATGGGATGTAAAAACTTAGGATAAAAAGGATGTTATTTGTTATCGTTGTCAAGAAAAAGGATATTATTCAAAAGAATATATATCTGAAAAACCAGTATATCAAAGAAAATCTGATAGAAAGAAAGTAAGTTATGTTAGAGTTTTTACCAATAGTGAAGAAGAATAATTTGAAGAAGTAGAAAAAGAAGAAGTTTATACTCTTGCACGAAATAAACCTTATACCACTAACAGAAAAACTGCTCGATAGTTAGAAGTGAAAAGAAAAAAACAATCTGAATCTAGAAGAGAATTAAACTTAAGAAGCAAAAAACCTATTGACGAATTTATAAAAGTAAAAATCCCACAAATTATTACCCCTACTTCAAAGAAGAAAGTTAAACGAGAACTATCTCAAGTTAATCAGATGCCTTTCTATAATATTATGCAAGATTTATTGCAAATGCCTTCTTTTGCAAAAATTGGTTAACTTTTACAATATTCAAATCAAAGATGTAATCTTGCTCAAGGGTTGAGAAGATCAAAATCCAAGAAACAAATTATGCTAATCAAGAAAGTAAAGAAGAAAAAGAAGACATCTACAGCTGTTCGTTGTTATATCAAAATTAAAGGAAATCCTATAGTTATTATCCTAAATTCTGAAGCTGCTGTCAGCATTATTACCAGAAAATTAATGAAGAAAATAGGATTATCTATTAATGAACAGTCTAATACTGTCATAGTCACTGCTAATAGAGAAAGAACTAGAGCGTTAGGACAAGTTAAAAGGGCTCAAATTGCTATTCAAAACCTATTAATTCCTATCTCTTTGAATATTATCGACTCCCAAAATGAAATTTTACTTTTAGGAACAGATTGGTTTAGAAAAACTCATGCTAGCCTTGATTTTAGAACTAATCAAATTAGGTTAAGATATTTAGCGAAAACAATCATAATGCCTGTGACTTTTAGTGTAAATAAAACTATTATTAGTTATCTTACTATTTAAGATCAACAAGATAACAAATTAGAACAAGTTTTGGATGATTATAAGGAAGAAGAACTCAGCAAAATTGAAGCTTATATGGCAGATAGTCAAGAAAAATATGAGGAGGAAGCTGACCTTCTACTGCTTGACTATAATCCATAGAATGAAGAAAACTCTGTTTATTTAACTCTTGCATTTAAGGAAGAATTTGAGTTTAACCCAGCAGTATTTCTTGCTGAGACTTCTAAAGAAAATATTTGGAAAATTAAAGATGATTTCCAAGTTGGACCTCTCAATGACAAGTAACAAACTTCCTTTCAAAAATTAATTGATGATTACAAGGATATATGTGCTTTAAGCCAAACAAAAATTGGATGAACCAGTCTGATAAAACATAATATTTTAACTAATAATCATGATCCAATTACCATAGGAGATTATAAGTGTAAGGATCCAGCAAAACTTAATTTCCTCATAAATGAAATCAAGCGTATGAAGAAAATGGAAT